GGCTTTTTCCTTCAATACCATTGGTTCTTGAGCATAAGCTACCTACTGAAGGACTGCATGTCAACCACTTCTTTTTGGTACAGTGACTCTGTGTATTCCTTCCATTTTCTCTTGACGCTTTCTGCATTGTTCAGTATTTTGCCCATAGAATCCTTCAGTATTGCATCTGGAGGTGTGAATTTTTCTTTAGTACTTTCCACTTGAGAAACACTGAACATATTCTTCCCTTTTGGTTTTCTAAATCCAGATCTTGGCACATTTCATTATAATACTTTACTTTGTTTTCTTGACCTGTCTTTTGAAAATTTCTGTTCAGTTCTTTTACTTCATCATTGCTTCCATTTGCTTTATCTACTCTACATTCAAGACGAAGTTTCAGAGTCCCTTTTGACATCCACTTTGATCTTTTTTTTCTTTCCTGTCTTTTTAATAACTTTTGTTTTCTTCATGTATGATGTTCCTGATGTCATTCCACAACTCCTCTGGTCTTTGTTCAATGCATAAAATCTTTTCTGGTGATGGGCTCTAAATTCAGGTGGAATATATTTAAGGTCCTATTTTGGCTCCTGTGGACTTGTTTTCATTTCTTCAGTTTAGTCTGAGCTTGCATATAAGCAATTGAAAGTCTGGTCCACAGTTAGCCCCTGGCTGATGATATTGAGCTTTTCTATTGTCTCTTCCTACAGATGGAGTCAATTTGATTCCTGTGTATTCCATCTGGAAATATCCATGTATATAGTTGCTGCTTATATTATTGAAAAAAAGTATTTGCAACGAACAAGTTGTTGGTCTCGCAAATTCTATCAGGTGTTCTCTAGTATTGTTTCTATTAACAGGCCATATTTTCTGACCACTGACACCTCCTTTGTTTCCAACTTTCATATTCTAATCACCAGTAATTATAAATGCATCTTGATTGCATGTTTGATCAATTTCAGACTGATAATAAAGTTGGCTGTTGCTGTTGTGTGCTGTGGAGTCCATCCATGCTGACTCATAGCAACTCTTATAGCGTTTCCGAGGCTGTAAATCTTTACGGGAGCAGAAAGCCTCATCTTTCTCCAGAGGAGTGACTGGTGGATTTGAACCACTGACCCTGCAGTTAACAGTCAGATATGTAACCCTCTATGCTACCAGGACTTTGAAGGAAGTTGGTAGAATTCTTCAATTTCTTCATTGCTGACTTTGGTGATTGATATGTAAATTTTAAAAACAGTTGTAGCCACAGGTCTGTCAGTTGGTTATACTGTGGTGGCTTGCAGGTTGTTGTGGTGCTGGAAGCTATAACACAGGTGCCTCAAATACCAGCGGAGTCATCCATGGTTTCAGCAGAGTTTCCAGATTAAGAATAAACTAGGAAGAAAGAATAGGCCACTTCTGAGCAATTAGCCACTGAAAACCTTATGAATAGCAGCGAAATATTGTCTGATACGGAATGCCAAGATATGAGCCCCTCAGAATGGAAGGCATTGAGGAAGAACTGCTTCCTCAAAGTAGAGTCAACCTTAGTGAAGTGGATGGAGCAAAGCTTTCAAGGACCTTCATTTGCTGATAATGAGGGGATGACTCAAAATGAGAAGACACAGCTGCAAACACTCATTAATAACTGCCATGTGGAATGCATGAAGTATGACTCTAGAAAAATTGGAAGTTGTCAAAAAATGAAATGGAAGCATAAGATCGATATCTTAAGCATTGATGAGCTGAAATGGACAAGTATTGGCCATTTTGAACTGGATAATCACATAGTTTATTATGCTAGGAATCACAAATTCAAGAATGTTATCACTTTCATCGTTGAAAAGAACATTTCAAGATCTATTGTTAAAAAGAACATTTCAAGAAGTACAATGCTGTCTGTGATAGGATAATATATGCCTACAAAGAAAACCAGTTAATACAGTAAATAAAACTGTTATTCAAAGTGCAGCAACCTTCATAGTTGGACCACTAGCAATGTACAAATGAACTCTTAAGAGTTAAAGTCTCCCTTTTGGGTATTTTCAGTTCTACTACACCCCAACCCTCTCAATCTGTATATGAAGAAAGTGTGGCACACAAAGGAGGAAATGGTCAATTGGAATACACCTGCAGGGATAGAGACAACCAGCTCCCTGGATTACCAGTGTAGAGTTCCAGGTTCCTGCTGGTTGTTGGGCGGAAATTGCACATTCACTTATTACAAATGTTTGTTAAGCACCTACAATGTATGAAGGAAGTCCTTGGGTGGTGCAAATGCTGTAGTCCATCTAGAAGCACCTAGGAAGAGAAACCTGACAATCTACATCTGAAATAGTTACTGAAAGCCCTATGGAGTGGTCTACTCTGATACATACAGGGATCGCCGTAGGATAAGCACTTGCCTGTGAACCAAAAGGTCAGTGGTTCAAACCCACCAGCTGCTCCTTGGATACCCTGAGGGTCACTATGAGTAGGTATCAACTGATGGCACTTCACAACAATAGTTATGAATAAAATGCCCTAGGGAATTTTTTTTAATGTACCTTTGAGAACAGTTCCTGAAATGTAAATGTTAAGTCAAACTCTCAATTAATAGCAAGTAAAAGGAGCTCTGGTAGCGTAGTGGTTACGAATCGGGCTGCGAACCTTAAGGTCATCGGTTCAAAACTACCAGCTGCTCCGCGGGAGAAAGATGAGGCTTTCTACTCCCGTAAGGATTTACACCCTCGGAAACCCTGTGCAGGGTCGCTATGGGTCGGAACCGACTCGACGACACTTAACAACAACAACAAGTGATAAGCAACCACAAACATATCACATTAGCAACTGATGATGATTTCCCAGACTATCACTTGTACCAAACTCTGCTACTAAAACTTCATTAAAAAACAACAAAAACCCAATGCGGACTGCTCAATTTTGATTCATAGCAACCCTGGACAATAGTGTAGAACTACCCCATAGGGTCCACCACTCGTCTGTCAGTTTGTCATACTGTGGTGGCCGAAAATGAGCCCCTTAGGTTGGAAGGCATTCAAAATGCAACCAGTCGCTGGAGAAGGATATCATGTTTGGTAAGGTGGGAGGTCAGCGAACAAGAGGAAGACCCCCACAATGAGATGGATTGGCCAAGTGGCAGCATCCATGGACTCAAGCGTGGCAACAGTGGTGAGGTTGGCCCAGGTTTGGGCAGTGTTTCGTTCTGCTGTGCATAAGGTTGCTATGAGTCGGTACCAACTAAATGGCACCTAACACCACCACCACCCCTTAGGGTGTCCAAAGTAAATCTTTACGGAAGCCGATGGCCACGTCTTTCTCTTGTGTTATGAAGTCAAACAAAAATACGTAATTTACTTGTATTTCAAGAGGGCTCTTCTTCTCCAGGTATGTAAAAATTTATGAACCAAACAAAATTCATCCACCAGTAGTTTTTTTTTTTCTTTTCACCTTCCAAGCCTCAAAACCATCAACCTAGAATTAAGTGAGAAAGACTAGGGCTTGTTTAATTCGAATTTTTGGAGATCTCCGGACTTTGGGTGGGTGGAGGGGCAAATCTTCAATGAAGTTACCTTTTTAATGTTAATCAGTAGCCACTAAATACTTCATTACCATAGAAGTCTGTATTCTTAAAGCAAAAGTTATTTAAGTTTCTGTGAATCCGCTATTCTCTTGCATGAGGAAACGTTTCTCAATTTGCAAAAATCTTTATTAAATCAGAGTAATAAAATATTATTCTTTTGAATTAATACATGATTGTATTTTAACAGTATTAACAAATGGCAAAGCAAGCTCATTTGGTGTCCATCTAGCCAAAAGGAAAATGATCAATAAGAGGTGTAGCAAGAAAAACAGCGACCTGGATAATCCCTAGAATGGGTTGTTGTTAGGTGTCCTCGAGTCGGTTCCCGCTCATACGGACCTTTTGCACAACAGAACGAAACACTGCTCAGCCTGCGCCATCCTCATCAACTTTAGGCTTGAACCCACTGCTGCTGCCACTGTGCCAATCCATCTCATTCGGGATCTTTCTTTTTCGTTGACCCTCCACGTGTCCTTTTCCAGGGACTGGTCCCTCCTGATAACACGTCGGAAGTATTAGAGACCAGACTTGACATTCTGGCTTCTAAGGAGCATTCTAGCTGTACTTCTTTCAACAAAGATTTAGACCGGATGAGAACCATTAATTCATTCTATTTCGTGTTTGAGTGGGGAAGTTGGAAGTCACCGCCTGCTCCAATCTCCCGAACCCATGGGATGGCTTCAACGAGAGAAAGCAGAAGCGAGCGGTGTTCCGGAGTAGACAGGTCCCCTCCCTCGGCCTCTTTAGGACCGGCCCAGCCCGGCCCAGCCCAGCCCAGGAGGATCCCGGGGATGCCGCCTTTCTTAGAGGAATCCAGCTCCCCCAGGCGCTCCGGGGGAAGCCCAAGCCGACCGCCCCCGGCCCACCCACCATTGCAATCCGCGGCGCCTGTGAAGATTGCGCAAAAGCCTCTCCCTCCCCCGCTTGTTCGGTGGCATGTTCCTAAATTCCCATCCGCACAATATAAACAGGAAACGTGCAGCAAAAGCCCTAGCGGTGCAAATTCCATACTTCCAGCTGAGGGCGGGAGAATCTCGACCTTTGAGGGGGGTGGGGAAGGGACGCGGCAAACTTCACAAGCGACCCCTCTACCATCTGCGTCCTTTCTTCCCAGATACAAAAAGGAAGAACAGAGGAGGAAGGACCCCTGCTTTAGGAAAAAAACAAAAAAAAAGAGGGGAGAGGGGCTGTGAAGCAGCAGCCAGGCCCCCAAGTACTCCATCCCAGCGGCTGCAGGGGCTGCGCGTGGCAGGAATACTCCCGTCCGCCCACTCCCCTGGTCCCGCGGTCCCAGCCGCGGGCAGAGGGTGGGGGTGGGTTCACCACCCGGGCTCCGGGCCACCAGGCCAGTGCGGGTGGGGGCGGGGGAAGAGCGGGCGCGCGGCGCGGCGCAGGCGCAGAGCGCGCCTCGGTTGTCAAACATGGCTGAAGTACTGCCGCTGCCGCTACTGCTGCTGCAGGGAAAATGCTGAGCCCTCCTGGGCCGGGTGGGAGGTGGCGGCTACGGCGGCGACGGGGACCAGCTTCCCGGGCGCGGCGGCGGCGGCCATGGCCCGGCTGGCCGACTACTTCATCGTGGTAGGCTACGATCATGAGAAACCAGGTAAGGGTGTGGGGCGGGCGCCGCCCCCGGCCTCCCCGCCCCCCGGCTGCTATCCAGTGGGCTCTGCGGGGCCGGGCGTCGAGCCGGGCGTCGGGGATGCGGGGGGGTTGGGGGGCAGGAGGCCGGGC